CACCACTGAGTATGTGTCCTTCCTTCCAGTCTCTTCCCTTTGCATTTGCATACATATACGTGTTTATATTAATGAGGAAACATGTTACTTCTTGCTCAGCGATTTGCATTTTTTTCATTAAGCAATATGCCTAAGAGATCTTTCCACGCCAGTCCATCAGTCCCTCTAGTTTCTAATTGCCCTTATCCTTCCAACGCCTGGAGAGGTTTCAACAGTGGGCCCTTCACCAAAGCTGTGGTGTTGCCTGGCATGCATTTTCTTTATACGTATTTGCTGATAATGATAAAGGAGAAGAAATTGGGCAGATAGGAAGGTCAGGTTCTGAGGAGTTGGCCTTATCATTTGTGCCACTGCCCTCTACAGTCTGTCTTTATTAATTGAGCCAACTTGGCGGCTGACAGCTGCAGAAATCAGAAAGCTGATATTTTCTGCATCTGAGTATTTCCCATAAGGTTGCCATGATTCTTTATACTTACTCTGTGCATTCTTATTCCTACCTATTCAAAGATATGAACCGTGTTTCTTCACAGAAATTTCAAAGGAAACTCTATTTCTTACATTGAGGAAAGTACTTGGAAGGCATACCCTTGGACTGAGAAACTGTGAGTATATCCTCTCCAAATACGATCACAGAAAACTAACTGCATTGTAAGATCCTTCTTGGTCCAGAATTTTGAGGCCAGTACCTCTGAGAAAAGATATTTTGCGCTCTCCATATCCCAAACTGACCTCTATGGATTGCAATTCTATGGTAATTTTTAAAATTAAATTTGGCAGGTTCTGTTTAAGTAAGACGATTTATCTTTTATTTTACAAATAATACATGATTCTATTCTCAGTGTATAAAACTGAAATAACAGGTGTAGTAAAAATCCTTCTTGTTCCCTAATCCGCCACCCTTGAGGTAAACACTTCTGAGTTTCGTGTATATCTTTCTAGATCATATTCTGTGCATTTGCCTAAACCATATTTACATATAGCAGAGTAGGTTTATTGCGTGTGTGTCTTTTTTTAATAGACTTTTTTTTAAGGGCAAGGATGCTTATTGGAGCACTTTTGGGGGGTTGGTTTTGAATTTTTTTGAGAGTAGAAAGCAACTTTATCCTTTCTACCTATAAGAATGCAATCTGAAGACTTCCCAGTCCTATGGATGAAATCCCATGGATGAAGCTGGGGAGCTCTATAACTTTTCCAATTACTCAGATAGTAAAATTCCTCTGATCACTTTCAGTCACAAGAACAGTAATAGTTCCAGTCCAGTGTCTCAATCACATTAAGTCTATACCCTCAATGAATTGAAAACTTCTCCCTTCCCCCAGCATAAGCCTTTTTTTAAACCTAGAAGCTCAAAATGTGGCTGGCTTCTCTGTTTCCTTGCGCTGCATCTCTCATTCTCCATCCCTCCATCCTACTTGCTGCCTCTGGCTTCTCGGAAGTTGGTGAGGAGAGTGGTGGAGAGGAAGAGGCTGATGTCCTCTGGTAGTGCTGCCCTCTGGGTATGGCATTTCCCATGATAGATTCTTCACTTCCTGGGTTTCTCAAAAATAACACAGCTGAGCTATGTCCTCCTGGTGTACTGATCCTTTAATCATTATATAGTGTCCTTCCTTATCCTTTGTGGTGAATTTTACTTTAAAGTCTATTTTGTCAGAGATTAGTATTGCCACTGTTGCTCTTTTTTGAATGTTGTTTGGTTGATATATTTTTTTCCATCCTTTGAGTTTTAGTTTGTGTCTTTAAGTCTAAGGTGTGTCTCTTGTAGGCAGCTTATAGACGGATCGTGTTTTTTTTTATGTGCCACTCTCTGTGTCTTTATTGGTGCTTTTAGTCCTTTTACATTCAGTGTAATTGTTGATAGGTATGAGTTTAATGCTGTCGTTTTGATGTCGTTTTTTCTGTGTTGCTGACAGTTTCTTTGCTCCATTTAATTTTCTGTGCTCGGTCGTTTTTCTTTATATATTTTCTTTTCATCTTTTTCATTGTTGTTGATTTTGTATTTGCTGAGCCTTTATACTTTTCTTGTTTTTTATTTTGATGTGTAGGATTGTTAGTTTCCTTTGTGGTTACCTTAATATTTACCCCTATTTTTCTAAGTTTAAACCAGTCTTTTATTTCTTTATATTGCCTTGACTTCCTCTCCAGATGAAAAATCTACGTCTACATTTATTAGTCCCTCTTTTTCGTTTTAATGTTGTCATCTTTTACATATTGGTGTCTCTGTATCCCGATTTTCAGTGTCTTAGCTTTGATTTAGTTTTGTGACTTCCCTATCTGAGTCGATATCTGGTTGCTCTGTGCTGTGTTCTAGTCTTGGGTTGCTATCTGATGTTATTCATTTTCTAACCGGAGGACTCCCTTTAATATTTCTTGTAATTTTGGTTTGTTTTTTTTGCAAATTCCCTAAACTTCTGTCTATCTGGAAATGCCCTAATTTTGCCATCATATTTGAGAGTCAGTTTTGCTGGATATATAATTTTTGACTGTCAATTTTTTTCCTTCAAGGCTTTATATATGTCATCCCATTGCCTTCTTGCTTGCATGGTTTCTGCTGAGTAGTCCGAGCTTATTCTTAGTGACTCTGCTTTGTAGATGACTTTTCGTTTATCCTTAGCCGCTCTTAAAATTCTCTCTTTATCTTTGGTGTTGGCAAGTTTGATTATATGTCTTGGTGCATCCCAGGCTTCTACCCACTAGATACCAGTAGGCCCACACAAGTCTATGCAGGGGTGAAAGGCACTCAGAGTCTGCGGACCCCTTGTGCCTGTGCCAGGCAAAGGAGCTGTGCCAACCCTGAGGTCCCGGCTCAGGGGAGCCAGTAGCTTACTTTTTCAGTTTGTTCATTTCTTCCCTCTCCAAGGTTGGGAGAATGGCTCAGGGCGCCTTAAGGGATCTACTTCCGGCCCAGGAGATTCATCAATGGCTGAAGCAGGCTGGCTGGCCGGGATCCAGTGCACAGCGGGGAGGGGGAAGGTAAACGGGAGAGAGGTTTTTCCCAAATGGGTTTTTTTGTGTTTAATCCCCGTGGTAGGCCACACAGAAGTACTTACCTTTAGCCGCTTGAGTGCTGCTTTTCACTGGTTCTGGGTGTCCAAGTAGACTGCTGCTGGGTCTCTCTCTCCATGTGGAAAGCGCCTCCCAGCACAGGTGTTTGCTGGCCTCACTGCGCACCCTGAGCTGATCAGAGCTGAAGGGCTTTGGCTTTCGCCCCCGTCAGGTTTGGCAACTCCCCCTTGCTTCCTGAACGTCTCTCTCTCTCCCACCACCACTCAGTCTGATTCCTCAACTTTGCCTTTGATGTTCAGGGCTCCTAGATACCCATATACGATCAATTCACTTATTTTTTCAGGTCTTTCTTGTAAGAGAGACATAGAAAGCCTCTGACTACTCTGCCATCTTGGCCCTGCCTCCAATTTTATTTTTTTTGAGAAGATTTTCTTTTAGGGGAGAGCAGTTTTAGGTTTCAGAAAAATTGTGCAGAAAGTACAGAGAGTTCCAAAACACTCCCTACCCCCTGCACATTTTTTCTCCTGTTAACACCTTGCATTCCTGTGATGAATATATTGATACGTTATTATTAACTAAAGTCCATATTTACCGTTAGGGTTCACTCTTCTGTTGTGCGGTCATATCGTTTTGACAAATGCATAATGTGCTGTATCCATCATTACAGTATCATACGGAGTAGTTTTATTGCCCTAAAAATCCCTGTGCTCCAACTATTCATCCTCTCACCCTCCCCCGAACCCACGAAACCACTGATGTTTTCATTTTCATTGTCTGTATAGTTTTTCTTTTCTAGAATGTCATATAGTTGAAATCATACAGCATGTAGCTTTTTCAGACTGGTTTCCTTCACTTAGCAGTATGCATTGAAGGTTCCTCCATGTCTTTTCATAGCTTGGTAGCTCATTTCATCCCTGAATAATACTCCATTGTAAGGATGCACCACAGTTTGTTTATTCATTCATCTATTGAAGGACACCTTGGTTGCC